CTTACTGATATTCACCTTTTTTTTTCTTGAGTAAATGTTGGTTGCTAGCCTTTGGCTGAGAATCCTGAAAAACAGTGATTTTGGCCATTTTTGACAGTGTTCTTGTTACTTTTATGGAGGAACAGATTTTCTAAGGTGCTTAATCCACCATTCAAGAAGTGCTTCTCTATCTATTTCCTGTGTTATCGTTTAACTAAGCAGATAGGAAAGAGTGTTCAAAAGTACAGGCTGTTAACCACTGTGCCAGACTAAGGACCATATAAAGACCCAGTCGTGCAACACTGAACGAGGAGTTGCTTTTGGTCTACAGCAAGGGCCTCAATGATCTTTGTTTTTATTTCTTGCTTTCATGGGTCAGACAGTGACCCACCCTGCCACACATGGCCTGTGGAATGGGACCACTGCCCAGCTGGCAGCACTATCAGATTTTCAGCCACAGAATACATTTATTAAGCACTCATCCGCCCTGGAATCCTGAGGTAGGCCTCAAATACCCTGTTGTCACTGCAGTAAAGTTTATGGAGGTAAGAAGTCAATGCACTCAAGATGTGTAACTCTAGAAAAAAGAAAAAAACCCTTGGAGTCATGGAATCCTGAGTCTGGAAGAGATCCAAAAGTCATCTGCTCTTTCTTTCCACCTGTAGCCTGAGATTGCCCACCACAGCCCCTCACCAACTAGTCGTTCCTGTCTATGCTTGGCCACCTCCTGGTGACCAACAACTCACAACCTCTTTAGCTGGACACCACTATGTGTAGGAAACTCTATTATGGGTGAATAAGGAGATCTACTTAGAGAGAAACAAGAAGTTGGAGGAAATGAGAAATGGAGAACTGAGACTTGTAAGACTAATCTGGATATGTAGAGCTACTCCAGGAGAGAGGTCACTTAACTACTGTGTATGACTTAGAAAACTCCAGACTGCTACTCTTACCAGGTGCCACGGCAGAAAACCACTTTGAGATAAAGGGCATCCATCAGCCTAAAATGAAACCCTGGACCAACTCTAAGCCAGAGTATACGGATGATGACAGAATAGGCATTAAGAACACATCTTTGGAGTCAGACAAATCTAACCTATCTGAGTTCTGGCTCTGCTACTTTTTAAAGTGCCGTATGGGGGCCGGCGCCGTGGCTCACCTGGTTAATCCTCCGCTTGCGGCGCCAGCATCCCATAAGGGCACCGGGTTCTAGTCCCGGTTGCTCCTCTTCTAGTCCAGCTCTCTGCTGTGGCCCGGGAGGGCAGTGGAGGATTACCTAAGTGCTTGGGCCCCTGCACCCGCATGAGAGACCAGGAAGAAGCACCTGGCTCCTGGCTTCGGATTGGTGCAGCGCTGGCCGTAGCGGCCATTTGGGGAGTGAACCAATGGAAGGAAGACCTTTCTCTCTGTCTCTCTCTCTCACTGTCTATAACTCTGTCAAATAAATAAAAAAATGAAAAATAAAAATAAAGTGTTGTATGATGCTGGGGTAGTTAGCCCGGCTCTCTGAGTTTCATTTTCTTTTCTTTTTTTATTATTTTTATTTTTTTATGATTTTTAAAATTTATTTGAAAGTCAGAGTTACACAGAGAGAGGAGAGGCAGAGACAGAGAGAGAAATAGACAGAGGTCAGTCTTCCATCTGCTGGTTCACTCCCCAATTGGCCACAACAACTGGAGCTGCGCTGATCTGAAGCCTGAAGCCAGGAGCCAGGAGCTTCCTCACGGTACAGGGGTCCAAGCACTTGGGCCATCTTCCACTGCTTTCCCAGGCCACAGCAGAGAGCTGGATTGGAAATGGAGCAGCCGGGTCTCGAACCAGCGGCCATACAGATGCCAGTGCTTCAGGCCAGGGTGTTAACCTGCTGCGCCACAGCGATGGCCCCCTTTTTTATTTTTTTTTGAATATATTTCTTTTGATTCTTTTCTTTTAAGATTATTTGCTTAAAAGGCAGAGTTACAGACAGAGAGAGAAAGAGACAGAGACATAGAGAGACAGAGATCTTCCATCCACTGGTTTACTCCCCAAATGGCCCCAATGGCTACAGTTGGGTGAATCCGAAGCCAGGAGCCATGAACTTCTTCTGCATCTCTTATGTGGATGCAGTAGCCCAAATATTTGGGCCATCTTCCAGTGCTTTCCCAGGCACATTGGCAGGGAGCTGGATTGGAAGTATAGCCCCTGGACTCAAATCAGCGCCCATATGGGATACTGGAGCTGTAGGTGGTGACTTTTCTCACTACACCATCATAGCACGGGTCCCTGAGCTGCGTTTTCTTCATCTGTTAATGGGGATAATCATAGTATCTATCTTTTTTTTTTTTTTATCTATTTGACAGGTAGAGTTATAGACAGTGAGAGAGAAAGACAGAGAGAAAGGTCTTCCTTCCATTGGTTCACTTCCCAAATGGCCGCTACGGCCAGTGCTGCGCTGATCCAAAGCCAGGAGCCAGGTGCTTCTTCCTGGTCTCCCATGCAGGTGCAGGGCCCAAGCACCTGGGCCATCCTCCATTGCCCTCCCGGGCCACAGCAGAGAGCTGGACTGGAAGAGGAGCCATCAGGACTAGAACCTGGTGCCCATATGGGATGCCAGCTCCGTAGGCAGAGGATTAACCAAGTGAGCCACAGTGCCAGCCCCACCATAGTATCTATCTTACATGGGTGTGGCTGGAGTTACAATAAAATCATATATTAAAAGTTCCTGGCACACAGTGAATGTTATTGCCGTCATAAAGCATTGGTTTGTGAGGCCTGTCCTGTGGCACAGCTAGTTAAGCTGCAGTTTGAGACTCTAGCATCCCACATGAGCATCGGTTCAAATCCCAGCTGCTCCACTTCTAATCCAGCTCCCTGCTAACGCACCCGGAAAAGTACTTGGGCCTCTGCACCCATGTAGGAGACCCAGGAGAAGCTCTGGCTCCTGGCTTCAGTCTGGCCTGGTTCTGACCCGTTGCACCCATCTGGGGGATAAACCAGCAGATGGAAGATCTCTCTTTCTGTATCTGTCACTCTACCTTTCAAATTAATTAATTAATTAAATTTTTTTCTAAAGGCATTGGTTTGTGAGCCTACTCAAAGCATGTAGCCACAGCAACTAGAGTTTCACCAAGAATAAGTCATGTCAAATCAATAAATTTCATTTCTTTGTTTCATACAGTTGCATACTTATTGACTTAATTTTAATCAAACTTTAACCAGCAGGTGAAACGGTCCAACGTGATCTGGATAGCAGCACAGCTGGGTGGATCTGTAACTGCCTGAACTAAGAGGGAGTACCAATGGATAAACTGGTGTTCACCAGGAGGAGACCTTTTAATGGAATGGCAGGAGGCTCTGTCTTGCCCTTTCCCAATTCACTAGTCTTATTAAAGGTTGGAAAGAAGATACAGAAAATACCGTGCAGGCCAGGCAAGTCAATACAGCAGCATAAGATCCCAATTTATCCTGCCCAAAACCAAGAAAATTAAATAAAAAAGAGGGATACTGTCTTGCACTCAGGTTTTAAAAAAAGTGATCACAAGGTGAGGGAGGACTGGGTGAGGAGTGAATCATGTAGCAAGACCCATGCATTCATTCATTCATTCATTCAGTAACGACTGGCTTAGCCACTCTGGATCGGCCCCTGCTGACATCCTCTAAAGATGAAGACAGGAATGCGTGTTTGGCCTAGTGGTTAAGACTCTGGTGAAGATACCCACATCCCTCAGGGATGGCGCTGCGGTGTAGTAGGTTAAGCCTCCACCTGCAGTGAGCGCTGCAGGTTCAAGTCCCAGCTGTTTCCCTTCCAATCCAGCTCCCTGCTGATGGCCTGAGAAAGCCCTGGAGGACGGCCCAAGTGCTTGGGCCCCTGCACCCAAGTAGGATATCTGGCAGAGGTTGCTGGCTCCTGGCTTTGGATTGGCCCAGCTCCAGCTGTTGTGGCCATTTGGGGTGTGGACCAGTTGATGGAAGACTTGTCTGTCTCTCCCTCTCCCTGTCTGTGGCTCTGCCTCTCAAATAAATAAATAAATCTTAAAAGGAAAAAAAAAGATGCCCACATTTCACATCGCGGTGAATAGACTCAACACCCAACTCTAGTTTCCAACTAACGTCAACCATGGAGGAATGCAGTGCTGATGGCTCAGCTGACTGGAGTCCTTCCACTCCCATGGAAACCTGGACTGAGGTTCACCCCAACCCAGCCTGGCTAGTGCAGGCCTGTGGGCAATGAAGCAGCTGACAGGAGCACCCTCCCTGTGACTTGCTGCCTCTCAAATAAATAAATAAAAATTTTTAAACATATGAAATGACATAAATCTCTACTCTCACAGAGTTCTGTCTAATGGAGAGATACCCCTAGAAATGGCATTTTTTTTTTTTTTTTGACAGACAGAGTGGACAGTAAGAGAGAGAGACAGAGAGAAAGGTCTTCCTTTTGCCGTTGGTTCACCCTCCAATGGCTGCCGCGGCTGGCACACTGCGGCCAGCGCACCATGCTGATCCGATGGCAGGAGCCAGGTACTTATCCTGGTCTCCCATGGGGTGCAGGGCCCAAGCACCTGGGCCATCCTCCACTGCACTCCCTGGCCACAGCAGAGAGCTGGCCTGGAAGAGGGGCAGCCGGGACAGAATCCGGTGCCCCAACCGGGACTAGAACCTGGTGTGCTGGCGCTGCAAGGCGGAGGATTAGCCTAGTGAGCCGCGGCACCGGCTCAGCATTTTTTTTTTTTTAATGGTAAGTTTTAAGACGTAAAAGGAACAGCATGATCAGAGAAGGGAGGTCACCTGACACTGTTTTCCAGAGATGACAGCAAGACGAGACTTGGAGACTTGCATTTGTCAGATAACCTGGCATAGGAAGGAATGATCTCCCAGGTAGATTCTACAACATGTGCAAAAGCACTCAGGCACAGCTGGGTCTCCTGGTTGATCCTACATCTACATGCACATTTGGGATTTGGAAACAGGAGGAAATGGAGCTATCAGGCCTCTCATTTCACACTCCCAGTTCAAGTACACTCCTGGGAACGCCTGCCCCTTACCATATGTGATGACAAGCAGCACGAAGTTGAGGTTTTTGAAGAGCCGGATGATGGAACTCAAGTATGAAGCATCAGGGGACGCCAAGGCATAGCTCAGGGACTGGGCCCTGCTCGGGGGATGTTTAGGCTTCTCCTTGAATACTGAAAAGAAAGAAACAGAGGTGACTGAGAAATCCTGTAGGCCCACCCAGCAGGGCTGGCTGCACACAGACGGGAGCTGGCTCCATCATCTAAGAAGGGGCTGAGACAGCCAAAGGAAGTGTTAATTCTCCAATTAAATCCTTGCAGCCTCCTCTCTTGAAGCTGCCTCCCATTGTCTGAGGCTGAGCAAGTGGTCCTGGGATTACTTTTCCTTGACAGCCTCTGGAAGACTGAACTCGTCTGGCCTCCCAGGCAGTGTTCAAAGCCCAAAGAGTTCCATAGTGACCAGCAGATAACCTATCACAGAGCACTGAAAAACACAGCCACAGTGCCCGGCTGGGAAGGGAGCAAAAGCTGAAGCTTTGGGACTAGTGAGCCCAGTTACTGGCTTAGAACACAGCTCCTACTGAGGGTGTCGGAACTGTGCTGCGTGCTTAGCACAGAGCCTGGCCACTGACCAATAAATACTCCCTGAGTAAGTAAAAACGATCTTCAATAGAAGAAACACCTAGATCCCCCTCCTGGCTTCACAAAGTCTGAATTCAACATCTTTCCTATGAAGGGGACCAGAGGATCAACAAGCTCCTCTGGGAGTGGACACTTGAATAAGGGCTGGAGAGGGACGGCAGAAAACCACTCCACGTCTATACTATTTTCAGGACCACTGGTGCGATCACTTTGACTGCCGTGATGACCACTCCACTTTCAGGGCAGGGGACACAGATCAGTTTAACTAATTGTTTGCTAAACTGGTCCCCGGATAAAAGTCCAAGCCAGCAACACACAGCCTCCCCTACACCCCCTGAGCACACTCTGAAAGGCCATTAGACCGTGTCCAGTTAGAGGAAGCGCTGCATATGAGGTTGGCTCTCTTGGCAGATCAAAGGGCACCCCCCTACACTGAGAAGACGCCCTAGGACTGATTTCAGAGCCCTGCTTCCTCCATCCCTGGAAACAGTCCTGGGTAACTTCCACACATTGCAACCCCCTCCACTGTCTTGCCTGTTGACTTCCCCTTCCTCGGGGGAAGAAAGCTAGGCAAGAAGGTTACCTATCTCTGCATCAGCAGGTGTTGTGGCTCAAGGATTTGGCAACTGAAACCAAAATTCAGATAAGATTCTTCAGCTCTTTACTCAATGAGCTCTTTGCTATGATTGGTAATAATAGGTCAAAACACAAGAAATATCTTACCCTCCAGGTTCTCAATTACAAAGACCCAGGCCCCCATCTGCTACAAACACAAGAATCTGGAGCCAGATACTTGACAGTTTAAAAGTCTGGCTGGGTAAGGAGGAGGCTACTGGTTACATCATCATCTCCGCTCTCCCCCACAGTTCCCCTGCTCCTCGCCTTTGCAGGAGCACCAGAGCTCTGTCAAGGACATGCTGCCCGCAGCTCTGCCTCAGCCTGCAACCAGGGATGGGAGGATACGGGGAGCGGCAGCTGACTCTGGGGGTGAGGCCAGGGGGCAGGAATGGAACCTTGAACACGGGAGCTGGAACTTCAGTTATTAGGAGGGAAGCTGGTTAATCTTTAGACGGTGACTAACTGGAAAGAAAAACCTCAACCTTGTTGTTTCGGATTTATCAGAGCCCACAGAACATTACTCAGATGAAAAAGAAGTAAAATGCTGTCAATCAAACACCTCAGTGTACCTGCATATAAAATAGCAATGGCAGTACCTGAGGTTGGAGGAGTAACTTTTTCCAGGAGAAGTTCATGGTCATTCCTTTCTTTATGCTATGTTTATTATTTTAAAATCCTTTTAATTTATTCACTTGTATGTATTCAAGAGGCAGAGAGAGAGCTTCCATCTGCTGGCTTACTCCCTACATGTTGCAATGGGCAGGAGCAGGGAACTCAGTCTGGCTCTCCCACATGTGCCACCTCCTGCTGTCTCCCAGGTGTATGTTAGCAGAAAGCCGGAATCAAGAACTGAACCCAGGCACTCTGATGAGATTCTGCTGTCCCAAAAGGCAGCTTACCTGCTGGGCCAAATGCCTGTGCTGCTACTTTCATTTTTAACATTTTCCCATAATGACCATACACCACTCTCATAATTTTTAAAAATGCATTAAAAATGTGATCTCCAAGTACACTCAGGTTAACCTATGAGATTATTGGTGATTCTGGGTCATTTTCTGTTTTCTTTTGTTTTTCAGAAATGCAGAGTATGAAGTTAGACAAGCTTAGACTTGAATCCAGTCTCTGTCAGGAGCTACCTAATCTTGAATGACTCCCTTCAGCTCCCTCACGTCTTCCTCTTTGTTAAATGGGACTGATAACAGTAGCCCACACAGAGGGTTGCGGGGGAGTGTATCCCATCAGGCATATTTCACACCAAGGGCCTAAGTGCCCTAAGTGATACCCTAAGTGCCCACTGATGTCATCAATGAGACAGGAGTGTATCCATTACCTCTGTGAGACAGGACCGCAGAACAGCTCAACTGCAGTCAAGCCTGTTTGGATCTGCTAGACAAGTGCACGAGACCAGTGTGTTGGGGAGAGCTACTCAGGTGAAAACGTTTGAAGACAGAGAGAATCCCAGCTTTCAGTTTCTGTAAACATCCATGGTGTTTTACGGCCCTGTTCCCAAGGGCCCCACCCAAGATCGCAGAACATTCCATACCTCTCCACCTCTCTGCCCCTGGCCCTTTCAGTCCAATAACCTTACCGATGATGACAAGGATGAACAGGAGAGTGGCCACACCTCCTATTATGTAGAACATGATGCTGATGTGGTAGGCAAGCTTCTCCTGGTCTTTGATGTTGGGTACCAAAACAGGAGGGACCAAGAACCCAATTGCAATTCCAAGCTATAGAAGACAGAGACAATCAGTCACAGTTAGCAAAGCCTAAAAGGTGACAGTACAGGTTTAAAGAGGTTCCTAAAAAACAAACAAACATAATTCTCAACTTCCAATCCATATTCAAACCCAAACAGGGATCCCTGCCCCATTCCAAGATAGCAGAGAAATCTTTCTTTTGATCGACCACTTGACTCCCCCACTACCAACACCTATTTAAAACACTGTAGTTGGGGGTCTCAGTGCAGACTGGTCCTTCTCTAGCTGCAAACCAATGAACCATGGTTCCTTTATCCCCATCTCTGGAGAATAAAACAGTGTTGTTTTTTGCCTTGTGCCATTTAAATTTCTAGTTGCACTGCTTCTGCTTACTTGGAGCTGAGAGATCAGCTGGGGACACGTTCTACACATTCCAATCCCAAGAACTTGTACTAAGAGTCAGAAGTCTAAAATTGTTACCACATTTACAAACATGAAAGCTCAGTTCATTGTGTGAATAACTGAGCAACTTCCCAAGCACCTACAGCATGAAGTCACACACAACTGCATGAATCTATACACCCAGGACATGGGCACATGCAAAATGGCTACACACACACACACACACACACACACAAACACACCTCAACAAATTAAAACATCGCCTATCTGGATTGGAGTCCAAACGCCAGGGACTTGACAGGTAACATGACTTGAGGTGTTTCTGAGGTCAGAAATGCTTTGCTTCAGCAGTACTTGGCTGTGATACAACTCCCAAAAGTGTGCCACACATAACACCAAGGCAGAACCCGGCAAACAGCTTGTGACTTCAGGGAAGCTCAAACTCCTTTGCTGTGAGGTCTCTTTTGTTGAATCTGGAAGGAACTGCAGGTAGAGAAGCAATCTGTGCTCACTACACACAACTGCACGTTCAGCAGCTGCCAATCTGCTGATGGCCTTGACTGGTTTTCCAATCTGTCCATTACGGACACTCAGCACGACTCCTGGTGGGTCTCAGCTCTGACGATTCACAAAAGGTATCAGCAAAAGGCTGAGTGTAGGGCTCCCTCTGCCAGAGTATAAGCGACACATCAGACATATCTTTAAAAACTTCTAGTTTGTGGAAAGGACTCAGCTAGACCTCTTAGCAGATAATGAAATGTATTAAGCAAGGCCCTTGCTTGGAAGGAGTTGTATGATAGGTGTGGGGGTGGGAGGGATATAAAATAAAAATACAGAAGATACCACAGATGGCCATGTTTGTGGGTTGAAATGATGGAATGTAACAGTTCGAAAGCTCTTTTGTAATCCTCTAATACAACCCCAAAGTGGAAGGACCCGACTGGAGGCTCGGTGAGGCTAAGCTCTGGGTTGTCCAGGGCTCTACCACAGTTGAGATGCTAAGACAGATCTCCTGGCCCCTCAGGACAGGGCTCCTCCACCTGGCCTGCACCAAGGCCCTCCAGGACCAAGACTCTTGAGAAAGGCCCCGGAGAGCAGGCACCTCTGGAGGAGCAGCTATGTCATGACCTTGGAGTTATCCCTGTTGCTCAGGCACAGCGATCTGTCAGGGTTGGTCTGGCTTCTTAACTGCTGATCTCTAAGAGTTGACTGGCACTCAAAACCAGTCATAGAGTAGTGTGGTGGCTGGCCTTATGGTGTCAGCTTGGGTGGATGAAGAAATACCTAGAAACATGGAAAAGTGTCATTTTGTGTGCATACATGAGGGTGTTTCCAAATGAGATTAGCACGTGAGTCTGAGTGCAGGAGGTGGGAAGACCTGGCCCTGATGCGAGCAGCTGGAGTCTGGAGACAAAATCCAGGGGGCGAACTGAGAGCTGGAACACACTCAACTCCTACTTTTTTTTTTTTTTTTTTTTTTTTTTTGACAGGCAGAGTGGACAGTGAGAGAGAGAGACAGAGAGAAAGGTCTTCCTTTTCCGTTGGTTCACCCCCCAGTGGCCGCTGCGGCCAGCGCACTGTGGCCGGCACACTGCGCTGACCTGAAGCCAGGAGCAGGTGCAGGGCCCAGCACTTGGGCCATCCTCCACCGCACTCCCGGGCCATAACGGAGAGCTGGACTGGAAGAGAAGCAACCGGGACAGAATCTGGCTCCCCAACCGGGACTAGAACCTGGTGTGCTGACGCCACAGGCGGAGGATTAGCCTAGTGAGCCGTGGCGCCGGCCTCAACTCCTACTTTCAATGGCAGCTGCCAGTCTTTGGACGCCCAGGACTTTAGCCAGCACCCGCCTTGCTGGCACTCGTGCTTTTGGCCTCAGAGTCACCTCAGCTTCCCGCATTCCGAGGCTCTTGGACTTGGCCTGGGCCATGCCACTGGCACCCCAGAGTCTCCAGTCTGAAGGCGAGACATCTTAATATTGCTTAATACACCTCGATACCTGCTGAGAAGTCATAAGACTTTTCAGATGCCATAATGATGTTAGCCAGCTCCTCTAACAGATCTTCCTCCCTATGTCTACATGGATTCTGTCTCCCTAGAGGACCTGATTAGTACGAGGGGCAGATGCAACCTTCTTCATGTCTGGGACCCCGGGTCAAGTCCACATCGTCTGGCCTCGTAGACCCTTTGGTGTTGGAAATCCAGAAGGTAAGGAGAATTTTTGGTGGGTCCCATTTGTGAGTACAAGGAAAGACACAGACATCACTCAAGTCTCTGCCACTCCCTCATTTCCAAAATGGTGACAAGAACCCTGAGACCTGGAAGCAGGATACCATAATCCCTGGTCAGCTTCTGCCTCCCTCTGTAACTCTTCCCAGCAGGAGTCACACTACAGACCTGACCCCGCAGGCTGGACTCTGTTCACTCCATCTACACACCAAGCCAGAGGGAGGCTCTTCTACTCCCACACCAGCATCCGGGCTGGCTGGCTGGCAATACTGTCTCATGGTGACCTTTCTCAAGAGGAAGGTGGCTTGGGATTGGAATTGGCAGAAATCTGGCTTTTATGCCCTGGGCAGAAAAACAAGACATGGGGATTTGACTGTAAGCTGCCGAGGCTTTGTGCTTTCCCAGACACATATTTTCCTGCGCTTTGAGAGCAGTCTTCCGTGGGAGTCCTCAGCTCTATTTCCAGATCCCAGTTTCTAAGTTTGCCCCATAGTCAGTACTCAGTCTGTGGGTGGGTGGCTGGCTGACTGGCTGGACAGACAGATGGAGGGTGCATGGACTGATGGATGGATGGTGGGTGGATGGACGGGCAAATGGTGGGTTTGTGAACCAATGGATGGACGGATGGTGGTTATGTGGGATGATGGATGATGGACGGGTAGATGGGTAGATGTATGGGCACATGTTCAGATGAAAGTGTTAGAAAAATCTTGCCTACACAAAGGTCTGCCCACTAAAATAGGTACAGGTTCTTTCTATAAACCACACTGTGCCCACAGTGGTAGGGGGAAAAAATTCAAGTACGGGAAAGTAAGGCTGGCCTACCATTTCTTGAGCATCTACTATGTGCTGGGCATCTAATATATTTTATCTGCTAGTTTTACCCTGATAATGTTACAACTGAGAACAAGTGTCCAAGGTCACATAGGCAGCTAACAAAGAGTTGGGATCCCAAGACAACTGTGTCTGACCCCAGAACCCAGCTCAACCCCCTGTCTCCCAGGAAGCATCAGTGTGACACTAGCCAGCCCAGAAGTCTATGCGTTTACCCATCTGAGTTCTGACACATATCTGATAGGCTACCTGTAGGATAAAAGTCAGAGACCTGGAGCCCAAGTCAATGCAAAGTTAGCTCCAGAAGGCGGGAGAATGCTGCTCCTGGGCGGGAGTGATGCAGGCACCTCTCCTGCACTCACAGCAAAGCCAGAGACCAGGTCAGAAACATAAATGACTGAAAATTACCACTGACCGGTTTTGAGCTGACTTATGTCCCTGTATTCATTCTAGTTTTATCGTTCTCAACAAAGTACAAAGTCATGGGCAAAATACAAAATTCAGAGGTGGGTGCTGTGGTGCAATGAATTAAATTGCTGGTTAGGATACCTGCATCCCATATAAGAGTGCCAGTTCATGTCTCAGCTACTCTGCTTCTGATCTGGCTCCCTGCTAATGCGCCTGGGAAAGCAGCAGAAGATGGCCCCAGTTCTTGGGCCCCTGCACCCATGTGGGAAACCCAGATGGAGCTCCTGGCTCCTGGCTATGGCCTGGCTCAGCCCCCCTCATTGCAGCCATTTGGGGAGTGAAACAGCAGATGGAAGATTTCTGCCTCTCCTTCTCTCTCTCTCTCTAACTCTGCCTTTCAAATAAATAAAATCTTAAAAAAAAAAAAAGATGGCACAAGTACTTGAGTCCCTATCACCCCTATCACCCACGTGGGAGACCTGGATGGAGTTCCTGTCTCCTGGCCCAGCCCCAGCTATTGCAGCCATTTGGCAAGTGAGCCAGTAGATGACAGCATTCTCTCAATTTCATCTCTCTCTCTCTCTCTCTCTCCGTCACTCTGCCTTTCAAATAAATAAATAAGAATGCAAAATCTACAGTCACACCAAGTCACAGTCCTAGTCTTCAGAAGCTTATTCCAAAAACTGCTTTTACAGTGGAGTGAGTGAGGCTCTCTTCACCTCCACCCATCCCACAGCAGCAATTCCCAAGCTCGCCTCCTGATAAAGGTCACCGGCCCCACCCCTGCCATCCTCCCTCCGGTGGGGCAGTCCAGCATTTTCGCAAGCAGGCAGTCCTTATCAGCCAGCATGGGTGCCTTCCAGCGGCTCCCTCCAGGGGTTCCCCGTGAGACTCCGTTCCCAGCCATTCTCCACGGCAGCTGGTGAGCGTGGGAAACATGACCAAAACTGGGGTCTCCTCAAAACCCCACCAGGACTTCCCCTGCTTTTACATTAGGGGCAAAGGTCCTAAGCACAGCCCACCAAGTTCTGTACATGGGGTCTGTCCACTGGTCAGCTACGGGTCATCTCCTTGCTCTCCAAGACCCTGACACACTGGACTCCTTTGTAGCTTTGAAATGTTCAGAGCTCCCTCACAGCTGAGACCACAGGGACTTTGCACAGGCTCCTCTGCCTGGACTGGAATGCCAATGCACCCCCCCACCCCCGCAATGCAGACAACCCTTAGGTCTGAGGTCAAGTTGCACTTCCCCAGGGACCCATTTTCTGAAGCCTCACCCCAAGTGAGCTCCCTGCAGAGGTGACCTTCTCTCTGAATGATTATTTATCAATATCCCTCTCCCCAGGCAGACCATGAGGGCTCACATTCATCTCTGAAGTCTAGTACCTAATAATGGCCATCACAGTAAACCATACAGTGCTTTACGGGGGATGTCTCAGTCCCCACAGCAATCCCAGACAGAGGCTGCAACACAGTCTCAACTTGACAGATGCGGGCACTGAGGTCCAGAAGGGTTCAGACACTTGTCCGAGGTCACACAGCTGGAGCTGGCATTTCAGCACACAGCACCTCGGAGTCCAGGGCAAGCATAAAAATATCTACAGCTTACTTCACCCCCAAAAGACGGTGCTGGCAATGATGTGGTGAGCAAAGGGACGGAGAAGCAGCCTTGGATGCCCCATTTTCATGATCTATTTCATTGTCTGCCTTTTCTGCAAACCCCAGGGTGATACCTAGCGCTGCTGCAGTGGCAGCGGCAAACATTTCCCGAGCAAATGTCACAGTCGCCAGCACATGTGCACAGCCTCAGAGCTCCGGGTGACGGGAAGAAGCCACAGCTCGCCCCCGTCACCTGTCGTCTGGTCCACCCAACTGGGAGAGAACAGAACTGGAAAAGCACAAGGCTGCACCTGGAGTAGGATGTCCACCCGTCACACAACACAACACGTCAGACAGCTCCGATATCCATGAAGCCTCTGCCCCCAGCCGCCATCAACAAGGTCACAACTAAATTAGAACCACAGCATAAAGATGTCATTCTGAGTTTTGGGGTCAAGAGAGAGCCAGGCCTTCAGGGGGAGGGTCCCAGGGCTTCCACAAAAGGCAGGGAGCCCTCTGTCAACACAGGCACCTGGCAGTGTCACCTGAGCCCTGGAAAGGCTCCCAAGGCCTCCTCCAGGCTGTTGACAAGGTGGACCCTGCCCTTCTGGTTAGGAGATAACGATCCCAACCAACAGGTTCTCACCGACCCAACCTCATTCTTCCCTAGGCACAGGCAGCCCACCCCGGTCGAGGCAATCGGTCTCTGGGTTGGGCCCCTGTGGGATTCAGAGCTCCCTGGCGTCCCCTTGTTGGGGCAGCATCTTTCCCTGCGGCATAGCCCCTTGGCCCGAAGGCTTCCTCCAGGCTGGGGCTCCTCATGACCTCCCGTGGGTGCACTCCGCTCCTTAAGGAGCTCATTGGGTGCTCTGCCCCTTTTAGCGGAAACCCCCACCTCTCCTGCTTCCTGCGCCAACACTGGCATCTTCATACTGGCACAGGGATGAAGGGCTCACACTCTGGGGTCAGGAAGATGAGTTCAAAGCCCAGCTCCGCCAGTTACTCAATGTCTGATCTTGGCAAGGTCATCGGCCTCTTCCAGCCTGCCTGTTTCCTAACCCACCAAAGGAAAACGGACCAGTTAGGGTTCATTCTCTACAGGCAAGCTCGGCTCTCCAAGCCTGCACATGCGCAGTGGCAGTGGCCACAAGGGAGGCTTCTGGGACAGCCAAGATACTTGGTTTGTGTATGGTGCTCATGCAAACCATGCCACCTCTCCACTTCCGTGTCAGCTCGCTCGCTCTCTCTCTCTCTCTCTCCCTCCCTCCCTCCCTCCCTAAGATACTATTTACTCGAAAGACAGAGTAACCGGGAGACAGACATTCCATCCACTGGTTCACTCCCCAAAACGCACAGCCACATCAGTCAGCGCCAGCTCCAAGCCAGGAGCGCCAGGTTCTCCCACGTGGGTAGCAGGGGCCCAAGCATCCCCGTCATCTTCCGCTGCTTTCCCAGGCACATGAGCAGGGAGCTGGATCAGAAGTGGAGCAGCCAGGACTCCAACCAGTCAGTGCCCATACGGGACGCCAGTGTCACAGGCGGTGGCTTAACCCGCTGCGCCACACACCGGCTCCCTGTTCTCTCTCAACGCTCCTGCTCATCTTGAATTCTGCCTCCTACATTGGCTCCATCCCAGCCCCTCCCCAGTCGTCCCTCCAAGTCCCCCAGGGTGCGTCCTCTCCCCCTGCAGCCCTGCCGCGCCTCTCCTCCTCAGGCCTGCGCCCCAGGGCCACCTTCCTCAGCGACCTGCAGGCACCGACGGCCCTCACGCAGGAAGTCCCGCCCTGCGGCGGGCAGGAAGTCCCGCCCCGCGGCCTGCCGCTCAGGGCTTCCTCCACCCGAGGGTTCCCCAGCTTTCAAGTCCACTTGCTCCTCGGTCCCTTTGCAGCTCTGTGTCCCGGTCGCGGCCCCAGCCTTTCACCCTTCCGCGCTGCCCTTTAGCCGCGGCTCCGCCTGGTTTGTTCTCTGAGCCCGCGTGGGCGCTGTTCCCTCGGGCTCCTGGCCAGCCGTGACCTCCTTCTGATGGTTTCCCACCATTTTTTGGACACATTTTCCTGGTGCCAGGCAAATGGAAGAGGCGCTTGCTCAAGAAATGGGTGTTGGTGACGTAGGCGGCTGCAGGTCAGCCAAGGAGACTTCCACGCGGATGCCTGGGGGAGCCCAGAGTCACAGAAAGATGCGGATGGAAACTGAGGTCTAGGCAAAGGTCCCGGGGACAAGTCTGCTGCATAACCTAGCGTGGTTGAGAGTCCTATGGAGTTTTGAAATTTTTATTTCTTTATTTTAAAGGGAAAGAGAGATAGAGAGTCTTCCATCCACTGGTTTCTCCCCGAATGCCTGCAACAGGAGAAGCCAGGAGCCAGGTTCTCAACCCAGGTGGCCCAGGTAGGTGGCAGGGACCCAGGTACTTAAGCTCTCTCCCAGGGTGCCCGTTAGCAGAAAGCTGGAATTTGAAACGGAGCCAGACACTCAGATGAGGGCTACTGGCATCTCAAGCAGCCTCTTAGCCACTGTGCCAGACACCTGTCCCTGATGTCAACGTTGAACCTAGGTGTCCACGTCAGACTAAGGTCCAGGAGCGCGGATGAGCAGCTTGAGAGCATGTAGTGTGCTGCCCGCACCAGCTCCCCCACAGCATGTTGTCCACGATGAGAAGCCAGGTAAAGGTGTGCATCTGCAGCTCCACACGCACTAGTGGTGCCTGAGCACACAACAGGACGGTGGAGGGAGCTGCAGACTGCCTTAGTGTGAGAAGTGTTACTACACATTTACAGGCACCAAAATGTGCTAATGCACTATGTCCAGTTTCCATTCCACACACAGACATGCCACATTGGACATGGGGCTGCACAGCCTGGCACTGTGTCCCTGGAGAGCAAGGCTACCACCAAAGCCCCGTCCATCACCCAGGACCACGTCCACATGGGGAATTACATGGGAGCGACTTCTACACTCACTGTTCTGTCCCCACTGGCATTGAAAGGCCATGCAGAGCTGCACACTTCACTCGTCTGGTGCCATACATACCACATTCTGTCCTTTGGCTGCTGTCACTTAGATGTTTGTTTTCACCTGCTAAGTGGACGCTCTGGGCGTGAGCTCCGGGACCCCAGCTGGGTGGGGTGAGGTGAGAGTGCAGGCCCTCTGCTGGGCGGGGCACCTGTGGGCCTGTGCAGAAGGCTCAGCCGCGGGTGCCCCAGAAGGAATGCAGGGAGACCAAGGAGGCCGCAGGGACTCCAACACCCCAGAGTCGAGAGTACAGGGCTTGCGTTTCCCCAGGAAAGGGAGTCCCCAGCCTCCTGGGCATGCCGGGCAGCACCGGGGAACTGGGGGGAACGTGCCCGTGGCAAACAGTAAGCACACACAAACCCTGCTCATAGGACTGTGTGTCTGTAACCCCCAAACCCAGGCCCTCGGCTTCTTTCCTAAAGGCCTCCCAGGATTAAGGAGGTGGCAGGCTTTCAGGCACAAAAGCAGCCCTAGAGACTCGGGGGGAAATCACTCATGACAGGACTTTGTGCGTCTGAGGGCTAAGCTTCGTCTCTAAGGACTTAGGAAGCGGGATCACAGCTGCTCAGTCCAGATATCCTGGGTGCTCCCTCCCCCGTCACCGGGTCCGGCCTCAAAGCTGTGATTATGCGGTTTTGCTCTTGGGTTCCCGTAAGCCCTCTGAAAGGAGAAAGGTGAGGGAAATGCTTAGGGTAGCTCGTGATCACTGGTCCTAGGGAACAGAACAGTGGTGATGAGAGCTGATGCTTCGGGCTTGCAACACGACAGGCACTGCCCTGAGCACCACACACATGTGCACACATGTACACATACACACACACATGCATTTCAGAAAGTTCATGGAAAGTGGAACTCTCTTTTTACTTTTTTTTACTTTTTCAGAGAAAAGCAGGATTTAAGTTGGAGACCTCCTGCTGAAGCGGCCAGGCAGGGGTTCCAAGAGAGGAAGACCCCAAAGTAAACATTTTATGCTTATGAGAGTCTTCAAAAAGTTCGTGAAAACGCATGTTATAAAAAAACCACACATGCATTTCAGAATCTTTTGCAGCAAAATAAGTGTACCTTTTAACTCCATTATTCTATAAACTTTTTGAAACGTCTTCGTGTGTGTGTGTGTGTGTGTGTGTGCATGTGCACTCTTTTAATCTCTATTTTAAAGTTGAGGAAATTGGCACTTAGGTAGCTGGTCCAAGATCACCTAACAGTAAGTGCTGAGGCTGGACTGCTAGGTCAGGCCATCTGCAGCGGAATGTGTATTCTCACCTTCTGGGCTGCAAGCTCTGGCCAGGACTGCTATTTAAACTATGCTGAGCACCTACCATGTGTGAGGCAGTGTGCAGAAAGGTATTTCACTGGTATCTCACTTAAGCCCTCACAACAACTCCTTAATGCTGGCAACAGCATCTTTGGTTTGGTTTTTACAGAGAGGAAAACATCAGTAATTCACCCAAGGTCACTCTGCTTCTAATGCCAGCCCTGAGATTCAAATCCATGGCTATCTGACTCCAAGGTCCTGCATGGACAAGGTGGAGGCCACAGAAGCATGGCTGCCCTCTCAGATCTGACCATTCTTGCAGGCTTGTGTGCTCAGTTTTGTAGTTCAAGGGTCCCCCCCACACATCCGGCTGCTGGAGGAGGCAGTGCCGAGAGGTGACCCCCACTAGTCTGGTTTGTTGACAGCATAGTTACACCCCATGGGTTTCTTGTTCTTATGGAATGCCTCATTTAATTTTGTTTCTCAACCTGTAGGGTGTTGTCTCCCCAACTAGACTGTTAATACCACGAAGAGAGAAGTAACATTGACTGATATTTCCTGTGCAACTCCTCTTACATGGTGTTTGGCACAGTGGCAAGAACAGAGATGGTGCTCACAAAGTATTTTCTGAGTAAAGCTATGACTCCTAGAACTGTGCAGCTCACCACTAACTCAAGCATTTCTAGTCTCCTCTGCAGCAAAACTATTGGGCCCAGCAGCAGCTTGCTGCATAGTGAGAATTGACCAACAGGAAGCAGACAAGGGACCAGCATGTGGCACAGGTTAAGCTACCTCCTGCGATGCCAGGATCCCATAGGAGCCCCAGCTGGAATCCTCCCTGCTTCACTTCCAACCCAACTCCCTGCTAATGCCCCCGGGAAAGCAGCAGAAGACCCAGGTAGCCAGGCCCCTACCATCCATGTGGTAGCTTAGGATTGAGTTCTTGGCTGCTGGCTTTGGCCTGGCCCTGGCCCAGCTGTAGCCCCAGCCATTATGGCCATCTGGGGAGGGAACCAGCAGATGGAAGCTCTGTTTTTCTCTATCTCTCCCTCTCTGTCTGTAACTCTGCTTTTGAAACAATTAAGTAAAACTTTAATTAAAAGAAAGAGGGAAGCAGACATGAGGTTTCAGAGTAACCAAGGAAGCCCTGACACAGGGAAGACCTCACATCTGGGGCTCCCGAAGATCAGGCCTGGAAGTCACGGGAATCTCTCCATCGAACCTACACTCAAAACGTACTGAATCCCAAGCACCCTTCTGAAGAGTAAGGGAGGAGACAACAGGTGCAAGACAAGGCACTCACTCCCACCAAGTAATTGTAATTATAATTTTTCTGATATAGCTTGATCTTGACCTGCAGCCTTGGTGCTGCATTCCCTCCTCATCTCTGGGGGTGGGGGTGAGGGGGGTCGGTGGGTACAGGGTAGCTGAAGAGCAGAGACACCCTAGGCTGTGAACGGAGAGCAGAGAGGCCCGAGTTCTGTAGGGAAACTTTTCTGCTTTTGATGCTGACACAGGAGTTGTTTTCTTTTTAACTCTTTCTTTCTTTTTTTTTTTTTTTCCTGAGCCCCTATTTATGCCTGCTTCAGAAATCACCAACTCGGGAGCCCCTCCCTTGAAGGGCTGGGTGCTTCTCTTGAAATCATCCTCATGGTGAACCCTGGGAAAGGTCATGCTAGGTCTCCCCAGGGCACACAAGTGGAGCCCCCTCTGCCTCCCCTCGCACTGAGAACACAAATCACTGTGGCCTCAGCACACGGATGTCCCTTGGCTCACCGCGTGGATGGCTGACCGCCATGGGCTTGCCGAACTTCTCCAGGACTCGACCAGGAAAGAGGGGAAGTGGCAGGGTAGCTGTCAACCCGCACAGCCAGCTGGGATGGCATCACACAGTCCTCAGCTTCTCTGGATTTTTCATTTCCTTTTTTTTTTTTTTTAAAGATTTATTTATTTATTTGAAAGGCAGAGTTACAGACAGAGAGAAGGGATCTTCCATCCTCTGGTTCACTCTCCAAACAGCCACAATGGCCAGGGCTGTGCCAGCCCAAAGCCAGGAACCAGGAACTGCTTCTGCACCTCCCACGTGGGTCTAGGGGCCCAAGAACTTGGGCCATTTTCAGCTGCTTTCCCAGGCCATTTGCATAGAGCTGGATGGGGAAGTGAAGCATCTGGGACTTGAACTGGCACCCACATGGGATACCGGCACTGCAGGCAGTGGTCTAACCCACTATGCCAAAGTGTGGGCCCCGATTTCTCACTTCGGAAGCAGGCAGCAAACAGAATTCTGTTGAAATGCTTTGGCTCTGTTCCAGCCACCAGCACTCAACAGCAGATAGATGCTAGGGCCCTCCCTGCCCTTTGACACAGAACAGCCCAAAGGAAAAGAAGTCTTTGCTGTCATTCCTGAAAGTGGTGCTCATGTGACCCTCGGTGATCCTGCTAATCTCTAAATCTGGAAGGACTTCCCTGGTGACAGCCCTCCCACTCCAACCCGGTAGTGAAACTTGGGCCCAGGCAGTGACTTATCGACAGGCTCTGGACACGTCATTGCTTCATGGACTGGCACGAGGAAGACCCAGTTCCTCTTACTTGAGTGGACACTTCCAAAAATAGACAGGGTAGACCTCAAGTAGCTTTTTCATAAGCAGCCAACTTCTTGGGTGAACTGACCCTGCCTCATGACCTCAGAGAGAAGTTTGGGGAGGAAAAGAAATCTAAACCTATACCAACAGGATGATTAGCCCGATACCTACAGCATATGATGATCAGCCACCCCCATCGTACTCCGCCCCGAGAGAGCGGCACTCTCAGCTCTGACCCTGACGCTCAGGGAGTTACCCAGGGAGCTCTCACGGAGAGGCAACTCCCAGCATCCTGCTCTGCAGCCACCTCCCCTCCCGCCCGGCCTGACGCTGCCACCAGTTCCCCTCGGTAAGGGACAGGCGTACTGTCCAGTCTCTCCTCCCTTCAGTGTGGGCCCTGTGAGACCTGGGCCTTCTCTTTCCTGTTCACGGCGTCATCCCCAGTGTTCTGAACGCTGCTGGCCCATGAGAAGCTCAATAAATATCTGTTCAATAAATAAAAATAAAGGCTGGAGTGCACCCTCTCAAAATGAAACCCAGCCAAATAGGACAGGCCAAGGAGTTGAGTGCCTCTGTCCTCTGGTGCTAATGTGTCACATTCCCTGCTGTCCACTGGGGAGACAAAGGGTGGCTGGCTGGAGGAGTAGTGACCTGGGACAAGTAGGATTCAAGCCAAGATAAAGACTGCATGGCCGGGAGACAGAGATTTGGCCCAGGCTGGGGGCATCCTAACATTGGATGGGTTTTTATGTGGGTAACATGAAGATACAGGACCAGGCATACCGAGGGCAGAAACTGAGACCCTCTCCATGAAGAGAGACAGAGGAAGCTGGAGATGCCAGACAGAAACTGCGACACCTTCTTAGGGCTCTGACCTCTTCCCGGGGATACCCAACCCCGCGCATCCCCAGGGTTACCTGGATCCCTACCACTTGCTCTCTGAGTAGCCCCTCAGGAGAAAATGCCTTCCTCCCAGGCCCTGTCTCCAGGGAGGGGCTAAATGAGCTCTGTGCCGGGCCACCCCCACCACCTTCCCCCACGGAAGCCGGGAGCGGGCTAGGTGCATGCCGACTGCAAAGCTACAGCCTGCTGCTCCTCTGCACAAGTCCTTCACAGCCAGCTATGAGCTCCGTGAATCAAAAGGTGTTTGGCTCAGGAGTTAAGACACTGCCTGGGATGCCTGGCTTTGAGCCCCAGCTCCACTTCCAATTCCAGTTTTCTGACAATGTGCACCCTGGGAGGCAGAAGGACTTGGATCCCTGTTATCCACATGGGAAACTCGGATTGAATTCCTGGATCCTGCTTTCCATCTGGCTCCTAGGGGCATTTGGGGAGCAAACCAGTGCAGGGAAGATCGATCTCTCTCTCCCTCTTTCAAGTAAAATGAAAAAATAAAATTTTAAGAAGAAGAAGAAAGGTCCACTGGACTCCTGAAGCTGCAGAAGGATCAAGTCAGCCAAGACCGCCGACCCCCTTTATGGCTGCAAGGAATGTTCTAGAACAGAGAAGCTCAGGGAGACGTCCTACAAGCAGAATGGCCAGAGTTCACTCTGACAGTGAGCTGATGGCAAAGGCAAGCATGCTGAGCCCTCTACTTGAGGGTGCAGCCCCTGACCCAAGCTGCACCTCACCAGACAGACAGGGCATGGCGTGTGCGCAGGGAAGCCCTTTCATTGTCCTGTCAAGTGGCGAGTCCAGAGTCTTTGTTTCAAGTTCAAGCAAAGTCACTGAAATCAACACTTACTCAACACTCATACTTCACCACGCTCGAGGCACCTGCACCTCCCCAGCCTCAAGCAACACCGCGGATCAACCACAGGATGCCTAGCACACTGTATGGGAGAAGCCCGGGGGCCGCCGCCTTGTCCGTTTCATAGCTGAGTTTAAGCAACTTGCTGAATTCCCAGAGTTAACAGGTGGCGAGGTCAACACCAACACCTCAGGATCCATTTCCAGTCCTGCCCTCGTGCCTGGGAACCCCAGTGAGCTTCAGCAAGGCACTCCCAGCGTCATCCAGAGGGGGTGATTGGCAGCTGAGGAATGTGCTGCCCTGTGCTCTGCCTGCAGAAAGCCCGGGTCATTCTAAAGAGATAGCATTAATTAGTGTGCACCCCTTATCAAAGTCCTTTCTGAGTCAGAGGGCATTCCAGGGAAAGCAGCAGATGAGAGTGCGCCCCCGAGTCCCTGCGTGGCCTCCCAGCCGTGACCTGGGCCCTGGGAGCACAAC